GCTGCGATTATGGTAAGGGGCGTTACATTTCCGACGAGTGCTTGCGGTGTTCGGCCAATCACAATGCACTGGGTCAGCTGGCCAATCAGAGCAGACTGCGCTTGTCAAAGGAAGGGGCTTTGTTGAAAACGACGTGTTTGAGAGAGGCGGGGCATAGAGGACCTACAATAATGTACAGTATTTGAAAAATAATGTGTTTTTTGAACATTAAAGCATGTCAACATATTCTGTTACACCAAATACACAAAATAATGATCTTTAAAAAAAGCATCATATGACCCCTTTAATATCTTATGTCTTGTTTTTGAAAAATGTATCCGAATGAAGTGAGTTTTTGCATAAAACAAGAGCAATGTTTTCGTAGAGTTTAATTTTAAACTTGGACTCAAGTTCAAATACAGTCAGCTTTGCTTATAGTTTAAGGCACGGTTTTTGGACATTCTAAAATGCTTGATGTGGCTTAATGTACTATAAGAGTGACATTGGAGGCCCAATTCGGTATTAATAAATACTATTAATACTAATAACAATGATTGTAATATTAATAACCTTATTAATAGCATTACTATCAGTAAAACAGATAGCCATGAATGCAACGTTAACCTTTTCTCCCCCATAGAAACCGTTAGGCTATAGAAAACGCTTAAGGGAGGCTAATGGACGAAGACGGAATAGGCTAAAACCAAAATATGGTACACAGTTTATTAATAAAATATAGCCTATTATGCACAGGAAAGCAGACAAGCCCAGAATAGCTATAAACAAGCCAAAAACCTAATTTAAAGCGAAACTGAAAGCACAAATCCAAATGTTTCCATATTCGCAATGTATTTGAAGCTAAACCATTATTTATTAAATTAACTGGGCTTTGTACGTTCCAATATCGACGGGAAAAAATCATAATGAACAAATTGAAAACAAACAAAAAACAAATTGACTGTGTAACATTTTATCTGTATTGGTGATTTTATGTTTTATTTTAATAATGAACAGGCCGCGCTGTTTGCAGTGAATATATGCGCATTAGACACCGGCGCGATCAAATCACTGAAATATAAAATACTCCGTCACTTACAGCAGGGCATAATTCGAAACTGCAAAGCGTTAGCAGTTTGAAGATTCAATAATATCAAAGATTATTAGATACATTTTATAAAGCGAACACTGTTGCGTTGTTATTTCGCTCTGGAACCGATAATGCAATTTTCCCTGAATATCCAAACGATTGCAACTCTGACATTGATTTTATATAACAGTTCAACAAAAAAGGCAATTTTAAGTGTATGTTTAAAATTTTAAATGTAGCCTACATTTTAAACAATATTGTTTGGTATATTTTACAACGAAATAAGAGTTTTATTTCGAAATCCGCGACAGACCTGGTGTGTGTCTCCAAGCAACAGCGGTGTTTCGTTAGTGAATGAATCTGCAGCTTTGAACGATTCGGAGAGTCGTGATTAATAACCCTTTCATAACTACAGCCATTTGCTTCGTTACTGACTGAATGCATGCATGAATGAATGACTGAATGAATGACGTGACGCTTCACTCATTAAGACAGGGACTTGCCGCCACCTACTGGCGCTTTTAGTTTTAAATCTACAAGTAGCTATCACTTCATTTTGCCATCATTTACTGCTTTATTAATTATATTAATAATACACTTAACGGAATGTCAAGAATATGACATACAACATGACATACAATTAATAAGGCTATAAAAACTTTGCCTCTATAACAGTAAAAATGCACCTGTAAATCAACTTAAGTGGGCAAATATTGTCCCTTAATGGAAAAGGTGTGACTGCAGTCTAACTAGCTAAATGCTGGGTACGCATTTGTAAAAGGTTTGAGAACCACTGGCTTAATGGATTACTGCGTTGATTGCATGTAGTATATTTTTAATAAAATACAAAATTTGGGCTGTTTATATCACTGTCTTGTTATATTAAGCCACGTTAAGCGCGTTTTTCTATGGGGAAGAAAATGCTTGTGCAATTCATGTACACAGAATATATTTTTAATCATGTCTATAGCATATTTGGTCTTTTTAATCACAGTCTTCATTAAGCCGCATTTTTTTTTTTTGTGGGAGGAAAACGCTTCTGTTCTTCTGAGCTTACCTGCTTTCATGTATAATTAATTTATTAATAAACTGTATACCGAATTCGGCCTTTTTATAC